ATTTTGGTATCTCTTATTTTTACATTTTATAAATTTTTGACCATTTTTCCATACTTATATCTGGTCATCTGAACAACTAATTTGAAGACCACAATATGCAATACAAAAACTATTGTCAAAACCCTGTAATTTTGTGAAAGTACATATCATACCTACTGTATTCTTTTGGACTTTGTATTCTCTTTTCAAAAATGAAACAGGAAAGTTTTAAATTAAATTTTAAAAAGTGAACTGAGAAAATAAATAAATAAAACACAAGTCATTGTTTAGGATTCCATCCTTGGTGTCCCTTATCGAAAGTAAGGCATGAATTCGTCTCTTCAATATGAATAAAAGATTTCCAACAAGATCTGTTATAACACACTTCAAGCAATTTGTGCTTTACTGTTTGAAAAGGGTTCTCACATCACATCTAGTACAGCATTTAATCTCTACCTGAATGATTTGAGTCCCACTATGACTATTTTAAAGATGAGAATATATGCTGAGAAGTCCATGTTTATGTTCCTTGTGGAAAATTGATACATGTAAAAAATGCATCCTAATTCCATTTTTTATCCCTTTTCCCTTCTGTCCTTCCTCTCTCTACTAATTTTCTTTGTAGGGGAAATGTGGGAAATACGTAAACATTTCTTGTGTTGGCTTAGTTCAAGTATATGGCACATATACCATATTCCTTTCTTCACTGCCTTTCCTGCCCCCCTCTACCACCCCTTCCTCCATCTCTTGATCCCCTTCCCCTTTGAGATCTTCTGTGAGAAAGATCTATCTCCGTACTTTCAATTTTCTTTCCTTTTTTGTTCATATACTCTTACATCAATCAAAATGTATTACCAATGGAATTCTGGGAAGATAGCAGAGTGGTAAGTAGAAATAAATCTTCCTCTCCAAGATCTGGAATAATGATATCAGAAAATAGCAAAAGGAGGAAGAAACAGAGGGAAGTAGAATGCTGGGACACTGAAGGGAAAACTGGAGCCTATAAATAAAAAATTAGACCACAATATGGAAAAAGGCAAGGGAAATTTGTATTTTCTCCATAGCTCCTGGCTTTTGATGAGAGAAAGGAAGATAAAATTTACAGAGATGACGTGAAAGTGGGTGAAAGCAGAAATCTTCAGTGAAAAATGTTTCAGTGGATTCCATGTACTACAACAGCTAGTGAATGACTCTGGTTCAAGCTTTTGTGATATCCCCTGGAGAAGGTGCCTGGTTAGATGCTGTGTTAGGTCAGGGCCAAATGAACTGAGGACTCAGAAGCAGCTACAGATGGGCTTCATCTCAGGATTTCCAGTGTTAAATTCGCAGTGACTGAGTGAGAGAGATCCACAGAGATGTCCATAGTGAAGAAGGTATGGTCAGCAAGGACACAAAAATGTTGTCATTTAAAGAACTTAGGCTTTCCCCAAAAAAAATAGGCCAGGTTTGGCCTGAATTTCTATAGATTTGAAAGTTGCAAACCAGCACACTGCCTTAACCCTACTGCCAGCTTTCAGGATTATCCAGGCTTATCTACCAGAAAGAACAGTCATGCCTTGAATTAGACACTATCACAAAAATGTACACTTCAGAAGAAATCCAGAAAATAGAAATTATAGAGAAATTTCTCTCTGTTTTCTTTCTTTGTTATTGGTCCTTTTGTCATTGTTAAATTTTTTCCCCGTTTGGGTTTTTTGTGAGGTGAATACTACTTTCAAAGGTTTATTATTTTGTTTTATTCTTGCTTTCATTTTCTCCTTCTTTCCTTCCTTCCTATCTTCCTCAGTAGTTTCCTGAGGATCCAGTAATATTTTTTGTCCCTCAGCCTTACTTTTCCCTTTTTTTCTTTGTTTTTTTCCATAATTATATTGAGAAACAAATAGTAATGAGACAGGTTCAAGTAGGACAGTTTCAATAATTAACACATTGCATACATTCTTCCTAGTGGTTAATTGCTGTACAAGATGCGGACATGATATCCTATTTACAAACACCATTAGAACAAATCCCTCTATTCATTAAGAGAATGTAACTATATATCCATCTTAACCACTTTGAATACAGAGATGCAAAATGGACATTCATCTGTATCCCTTTTTTTGTTAAGTTCTGTTATTTGAATATTATAGGTGTGTAAACTCAGCAAAATATTCTAAAATAGTCCAGTAGCCCATAATACTATTGGGTCTTTCTGCTTGACTGGCAATGCCAGAAATTGTTGACCTGAGTCCCCTACAGCTTAACATAACACCATGGCTTTACTTCTTATATTTCATTTTTATACTTTTTTGCTGGATGGCCAAGACCAAGGTAAAGCAGGACCTATGCAACAAGAGTTGTAGCTTTTGGGTCTGATAAGGTCAGTGAAATCCTCTCAGGATTTATGCTGAGATCCTGTACCTTTTATATATGCTCCCCTTAAGGTAAAACTGCCTTTAAGTGAATATTTACAGCACATAATTTTCTGATTGGTCTTAGATTTTGTTATATAACTATAAATACTGTACCTAAAATGGTAAATTTCAGTCATCATAGTTTGTCATTTTTCAGCTGCCTTTGATGCTACTGCTATTACTGATTGTAATGCTTCAGCGAATGTGACATAGTTATGATCAATTGGTCGTCATTGTATGATACCTAGATTTTCTATGGCATCATGAACAATATTATAGCACCAATAACCATGTGCAAGGCCAATCAGGCCTCAAACTTTCATCCTTAATAAACAGAAGACACAGGATCCTAGGACACAATCAAAGGTCAAAAGCTAGCTATATCTAGAAGGCATCTCTGAAAAGTAGTCATTTCCTTAGTAAAATGGCACCTATGGTAAGCAATTTAGAAGACTCAATTCAAAAATAAATAAATAATGAGGAAACATGGAATCCAACACCTACAACTTTCCCAAAGAAAATCCCAGGTTTGGCAAGGAAGATAATTCAGCTGTATAAGTGCTGGCCTGGCAAGCACAAGGACCCAGGATCAATCCCCAGTACCACATGCCTTGAAAGTCCAGGAACCAGGCATGGTAGCACATGCCTGTAATGCCAACACCGGGGAGGCTGAGACAGGAGGATCACTATAAGCCTGAACTGCGTAAAATGTGTAGTCAGTTCCTCTATCCAATAAATAAATACATAAATAAATAAAAAGAAAAAAAAAACAATTATTTCAGAAAGTCAAGGGGACAATGAGGTGAAGGAAATCAAAATCCCCCAAGCTAACCCTTCCAAAATGGTAATAGCAAAAGTAACCAAATATATGAATAACTCTCTTAACACAATGGAAATAATTGGATGGATAATTAAACTGATGATCATAATGAAAGAAATGTTTAGAGAAACAAGAGTAGATGCAGGTAAAGAACAGACAAACTGAAGAAAAACAGAGTAGATGCAGGTAAAAAAGTAGAAGAGCATATGAAAGACAGGGAAACCACCAAGGCACAACAAAGGAAAGAAATGTGTGCTACAAAAGAGTGAAAGGCTGGCCAAATAGCTCA